CCTGCCACATTTATAGTTGTGTGTGCTGGCCTGCCCCTTTCATAAAATCCGACTATTTCGGTTTTATGTGGGGCTACTTCCAATCCCATTTCTTGGATCCTCTGAATGATCGTTCCCACTGCAAGTTCCGCCTCCGTGGAGGCTTCCTCCCATTCATCGCCTGTAGCCAAAACCAAAGTGTCGTCAGCATAACATAGAGTATTAGGCACTCTGGATTTAAATCTCCTCTTTTCATGACTTTATTGAAGCCTAAGTTCCATAAGAGGGGACCCAGGATTGATTCCTGAGGAACCCCTCTTCGTACTTCTTTTTCTCCATTTGAACCGTCTTCTTTTGGGAAGGTTAGCCTCCTGCCGCCCAGATAATCACGGATTATTCTTCTTAGGTATAGAGGAGTTCTGTGTCTATTGAGCGCTGCACCTATTACTTCCCAAGGTAGAGAGTTAAACGCGTTTTTAATGTCGAGAGATACTCCTATCACCACCTTCCCCTCCTTGAAGGCATCCTCCATGTATTATCTAGCTCTTGCTGTTGTGTCGATAGTTGACTTTCCTTTACGAAACCCATATTGAGTGTTGCTTAGATTAGGCCCTCTCCCGTTTAGATGGGTTGTAATTCTCATTGAGATAATCCTTTCTAAGAGTTTTGCCTCGTCGTCCAAGAGACAAATTGGACGGTAACCCGCTGCTTGATTATCCGGCTTACCCGGTTTCCTGAGTAGTACCAATTTGGCATTTTTCCACATATGTGGAAAGATTCCATTTTTCAGGCATGCGGAGAAAATCCTTCTCAGTTCCACCATCATATCCTTAGATGCTATTGCCCAAGCTTTTGCCGGGATATCACTCGGTCCAGGAGCCGCGCTTTTTTCCAACATTCGTTTAGTGGCTAATAGAACCTCTTCATGAGAGACCTCTAACTCTGCCGACCAGGAGGATGTTCCTTCCATCGGTAATTGAGGCTCTGTCCAGTCATTTAATTCACCCGGTGGAAACAGACCAGTGATAACCCTATCTAACTTTTCGCAGTCCATGGATTCAGTATATGGAGGCGACCATCTCCTTAACTTTCCCAGGACTACCTTATAGGGACGGCCTCATGGATCTTCGTTTAGGGAGTTTACAAATTCCTCCCAGGATTTTGCCTTGGCCTTCCTAATTGCTTTCCCCAAAGATACCCTAGCTTGTCTGAATTCGCCTAGCCTAAGTTGTATTTCGAATTCATCCTGTCTATATCCCGGACGCTTTCTTATTCTCCTGAGCCTTCTTCTTACCGTGGTTAATTCAGATCTAAGGGTATTTAACTCTTCATTCTACCACGGCATAGCCTTTCTTGGCCTAGGAATTGATCTTGGCATTGCCGTATCACATGCCTCAGAGAGAGTTCGTTGCAACTTTGTTGCCTGTGCTTCTATATATTCGCTGGTCATTTCCTCTACCTGAGTTATTTTCAGCCAACTACTCGCCAAGATTGCTGCAGAGAATATATCTTGCTTCATCTTTTTAGTTGCCCATCTTTTTGGTTGGGGCTCTCAACCTTCTATGTTGTAGTTCAGTATTCGAGATGACCATTTCTATATATCTATGGTCAGATAGGCTCTCCCTATCCGACACCTCCCAGGATCTCACTCTCTGCGCCGCTACAGGGTTCGCGAAGATAACGTCCACGATTGATTCTCCCGAACTTCTGACGCATGTACTTCTGCCTCCTTGGTTTAAGCAGACCAAGTCTGCTGGCCCACTCAACAATTAACCTCCCACGTTGATCACTTATAGGAAATTGCCACAGATCCGACTTAGAATTGAAGTCTCTTGCCACGAAGATCGGTTTATTTATTAGTAGTTGAATCTCCCTTTCCATTTCATCGATGGCTTCTTCGAATTCCCTTAAATCCAGACTTGGAGGAAGATATGTACCGAATATCATCATGTCTCCCCAGCGGATAGCTGTGAAATGTTTTCCCTTTCTATATATGGAATACATGGGATTGCGTTTCTAGTCTGTCTCCAAGTAATCGCTATTGATTTGTTGTCATTGGCTGTCCAATGTGGATGGTTCCTCGGCACCCTTAAGAATATTGCAAACCCCGCCGAACACAAGAACGATCAAAAAGACGAAAAGACACGCAGCAATCAAATAAATCGCGATAAAAGAATTAGAATAAACCGAAGGAACAAAAAGACACACAGTAATTAAATAATCGCGATAGAAGAATTAGAATATTCGAGAGAATTTCGCAACAACAAGTGTGCGAAAACACCCCTTTACCGCGAGAGGTCACAATGCGAAACATATATAAAGCGGGACGATTTACAGACAAATCGCCTTATTCCTTCTTAAGCTACCGAGACGGTAAGGACTCCTAGCTCTTCTAGTAGCGCTCCGGAACCATCCGTTGTATCCTACAATTCCAGTTCTGATCGTGCGCCATCCACGGCGTCAGACGAGCTAATTCCTTGCCTGATCTCTGCAGCGCAAACCATGGCGACGTGGAGATCACTTCCTCGCGGAAATTCCAACGAGCGCCTTCTCGGCGTCGAGGTTTTTCGCACTCTCTTTCTTTCCGATCTGCCGCTGACCAATACGTTCTTTCTGGGCGCAGATGCCGAAGAGAAAGCGTACACGCGGCAAACGAGGGGGTTGGCATACCCATCTCAAGGAGCTACAACGGGAGCTCCTAACCATAGGCGATTTCGATCCTTCGAATCATTGGAGGGAGGACGCGGGGGATGCAAACAAACCCTCGGTCGACAAATCAGGCACGATTCTCGAGATCGCAGATTCGCCATACACTATCGCTCAAAACAACGCCTCGAAAACCGCGGCCACCACTACGCCAACCCCGCGGTCAAAACCACCTCCATCTCCGCCCCACGTGGCGCCCACACGAAAGGCCACTAGGCCTATTATCATTACGTCCAAACCTCGCGTTATCAGCAACACCCCGTGTACTTTAAATATATTAAAATCTTATAATCTTAAATATTTCTATTATTATTACAAGCCTTCTTATTCCCTTCCAAGTCCTTCTCATCGCGCCAGAGAGTGTAGATAGAGACAGCGAAATGAAGCCTAACTGACGCTTCTTCTAAACTCTCTATTTTATTTTATCAGAAGAACCTGGAAGGCTAATTACCTTAAACTCTAGTAAATTCATAGAATCATATATATTATTTCCGAATATCGTGCTCAATTCCGAGCACTGGTGACAGCTGCCTAAAATAACAACAAAGATACGCGTCTAAACACCGCGTTGAAGTCAAGGCTTCACCCCGCGCGCCCCGCTCCGCGCTCGCGTTCCCGCGAACTCGTATCGCGTCTCGAGACCGCCGAAAACTCGCGCTCAGGACGTAATAGTCTGCATATTTTCTTTATTTTTTCCGACTCTGTTGTCTTTCTTCCTTAAAGGAAGAGGCTTGCAGGCTGGACCCCCCATTCTGTGGTCCGCTCTGAGATTTCTCTCTGAACAGATCACACAGTGTACTTGTTCCAGGCAATCTTTTGCTATATGTCCTCCCTGGCCACATCTATAACAAGCAGCTCCCCTATCGTGTTCATTTCGGCACTGGCTCCTAACATGGCCGTTTTCCAGGCATCGGTAACATTGGGTGGGTCTAGCTGGTAATAGATCCACACGGGCCATTGTCCACCCTATCCTGATTCTTCTGTTTTTAGTGACCATTTTAGCCGCAGCAAGAGGTCGTCGTAGCTATATTGTTCCTAATCCATTAATAGCTTTAGTAATATTGCCCATTTTTATCATGTCTCCTGAACATTTGCCTATATTAGAGATGACTTGTGTCACGTCTTCTTTTGTTACAAATTCTTCTAGGTCCCTGATTCTTATCTCTGCCGTTATTTCAGGTCTAGAGACAAGAACATTCTCCTGTTCCTTAAGAATCTCCTTCAGACGATCGGCCAACATATTTGCCTTTTTTACTGCGTCTACTCCTGGTATTTCCAGGAGTAAGGCTCCCATTCTGGTTTTCCTTGGTCTAATTTCCTGAATTCCTAATATGTCTATGTCCACGTTAGATTTAGCGGTCCGCATTGTCTCTGCGTAACTTGCCTCTCCTCTACAATTTATCTGAACCGCTGCTGTTTTGGGGATTCTCCTGTTATCTCCTATTTTCTTCGTTGTATTACTGGTGCTGACCGACGTTGTTATTTTCTTCTTACTATTGCTTCCGCTTGCTATACCTGTTTCTCTTTTGGCTTTCCTCCCCACAACTTTGCTCCAAGGCAATTCCATAGGATCACTGCTGCCTGGTTCCTGTGATCTTGGTGTCTCCCTGGTCCAAGGATATTTCTCTGTCTTTGGTGTTGTCTCTCAACTTGATTGTTTATTTTGGCTTCCTTCGTCTCCTCCTGTTTTGTCTCTATTTTTATTAGAAGAGTCCAAGGTTACTTTATGAGCCTTAAGTACCTGTATCTCTCTAATAATAGATTTTCCAAGATGCCTTGCTAATTCCTCCGATACTATGTCTCGTATTAGATCTGCCAGGGCCCTAGGTGAAGTTTCCTTCATACTTCCAATATTAACTTTCTGTTTTTTCTTCCCGGGTCTTCTGAAACCTTTCTAGAACTTGATTCTCCTGTGTGATCCGACATAAATTTTTTATGTGCCACATAAATTTTCTTCTGAATATTTGGATCTTCTCTGATCAGTTTCCTCTTTCCTTGTAAAAGTGGTCGCCTTACTTCAAGCCATTTGTCGGGGTTGTCTAGAATTACCTTCTTTCCCTCATCTTCCTCAATTTCCATATTTTCTGAGTCCGAGGAACTTATATTATCTCTGACTCGAAATTTAGTCGAGGGAATTCGCCTCGGGCTTTTCTTCGGTGAAGCATCCTTCCCTCTATCTCCCTTTGGACTAGGAGTCTTTTCTTTCCTAGCTGCTTCCTCTTTCCTTGGAGATTGCAATTCCCTCCTATATGCTTCCGCCTCGCAAGCTGATTGGAGTGCTTTCCTTCTTTCTCTCTCAACTTCCTCTTCGAGTCTGTTTTTGAGAATTGCGACTTCCCTTTTTAACGTTCTTATTTCCTCTAATTGAGCCTCTTCTTTCGTTAATGTAGCTCTCTCTCTGAAGATCTCTAGGATCCCCATGGAAGATGCTGCTGCTACCTTAAGGCTTTTTTGGAAAGTGCCCTTGAGGTTGCTAGAGGACCTAGCAATTCTTAAGACCTTTTTTTTTTTTTTTTGATAACGGAGGGGAAATGTCTAACGCATACCCCGGGCCTCGGGGGAGAGCCCGGGGTTATGTGGGGTTTGCACCCACTAAAACCCCTCCGGGTGTCCTGCGCTGGCCGCTGTTAGGGACCCCCGGGAATGCGTGCAGCATACATCCGGGGGCCCCTGGGCCTGCCGG